CTAATGCCTATAATCTGTAAATGCCTTTTGTACCTCTTTCATTCTCCCAACTTGTCAGACAATTTTTTTATACCATATGATGAATGATTGATCACTGGTATGAATTGAGAAGTTCAAACGTATTGCATTTTTAGAAATTCTATCGAGATTTAACACGATATTATTATTAGGGACGAAGTAGTAATGCTATAGGAATTAACACATGAAGCGATGAGCCGTTGTTGCTCTAACCTAATGGCTTATCACGGAATGATTTGAACATGGAATGCGATATATCTCAAATTATTTACAGATTATATACATTTTTTCTTCATGAAAATTACAAATTGAATTCTTCTAAATACAAACAATACATTTTTCATAGCATCTGTCAGTTTTTCCATATGTGTTTTATTTATTCCATCATTAGTTCCCTAATTTATTTGAATAAAAAAAAAAAAAAAACCTAATTGGTTTGCAGTAAATCGATGAAGATGAATGAAAATTAAAGTGAAGTTTAAAATTAAAATCAAATTAAAACAGAATTAAAGCATTACATTACTTAGCTAGTAAAAGGACAGGAGTATATTAAATTAAACTGGGAAATTCGAGTTGACACCAACAGATGAGGTAAACGTCCCGAGTACAACTATCAAATTGAAAATTCAAATAGGGTAACTTTTATATGTATGTCTGCATGTTTGTGCGCACATGTGTGTGTTTTTTAAACAAAATTTTTTCTTCAAATACCAATAACGAGCAAAATTTTGTGCTTCCTTTCTAACATACAATCCTGCTGAGTCTGAAGGAACTTACAAGTGAATACGTGACTTTGTTCATTTCTAATTCAACCACAAATTCTAGCTAATTCATCGATGATATTTTTGCTAACAAAATTAAGTATGCCATCAATTCGTATAAATTCGAAATTCCAAAAACATCCATTTAAATCAATTTGATCATAAAAAAAATATCGAGAAATAGGATGAAAACATGCAAGCAATCATTGAATAAAATTTTTTTAAAAAAAAAAAGAGAAAAGAAAAGCTCTCAATTACTCTTATCATCTAATTTTTTTCCGCTCTAAAAAAGCTACACCAATATATGCGTATTAATTAATTCATTTAATTTTTATTTGATGTTAGTGAGTAATAATGTGTTTTTTTTTTTTTGAATTACAAATTCCAGATCGGAATTTCATTATTATCTTCAATTTTTAACATAAATAAATATTTGATACTGAATTTATTATAATCAATATCAGATCATATCATTTGATCACCTCTAATCATTTTCGTTATTTTTTCACAAAACGCTTAATTTAAGTATTTATAAATTTGATAACGAAATATTTACTAATGATGCATTCAATTTATATATGATATTGCACGCATAATGCATTTAATGTGTGTTAAAATAAATGATAGTGAAGAGGGAAAAACGGATAATAGTAATGACCATAGGTTATATGATTGAGCTTTTAACCTTCGACCCCTCTAACTGACCACATCATTATTTTTTCTCCTCCCACTCTCTCTCTCTCTCTCTCTCTCTCTTTTCTTCTTTTCTCCCTACATCTCATGATTTTAACCGATCATTCTGATCTTCAAGACCACAGTAACACCTTCATCTAATGACCATGTCATATATCCTATCCATTATGGATTGTATAGCAGTAACAGCTACATGAAATCATTATTTTTTTTTTTATCCCTACCTTATTTATTCTTTCTTCCTTTTTCATAATTTTTATTATTTTAATAAAATGATTCATTCATGAAATTTTTCATTGTTAATTCAGAAAAGATTAAATATTTCTATTGAAATTTGTATATTTTTGGTTATTATTGATTTTAGCATAATTTTCAATAACTATAGCGAAAATTTAATTAAATTAACAGCAAATATGAGCCAGCTACTTGATCATATATACATATATGAGAAGATTTGTGTGTGACAAATTTTGGTCTAATTTTTGAATTGATCGGATTAAACTAAGCATCGGTATATTATCTATAAAACAATAAAATATTAAATTTGAAAAAAAGAAAAATTCTTTTTCAATTTATTTATCAATTCTTCACTTATCATTTATATACTCTGGTTATTATATATAAATATTCCTACCTCGTGTAAGAATTGATTAATACGTGCAAATCAACATTTGTGGTTAAACTATTCAAGCAAATTCTTTGTCTATTAAATGATCTCATTTTCAATTTCATGCGAAATGGTAATATACTCTCTCATACTTGTATTTGATCCTGTATTTGACCCTTTAATTTACTCTATAATATATATTTTATTACAAAAATCTATTTGCCAGTAACTACCAATCATTATTTTTTCGACCTATCAACTTTATTGTTCATTACATAAAATTTAATGACCTTATATGATATGTTAAAATTTTTGAACCTTATCTATCATATCCATTAAACAGAATTAAATCTTCAAAATCATTCCAAATTTAACAATACAAACTAAAACAATATCCTATTTCAAAAATTTTACAAATTATTGTAAGCTTAAATTTAAATAATTTTATTCGAAACGATTAACATTATTTACACTATTCCACCAATTTTGCTCCACTTTCTAATCCGTATCAATTCTATCCATATTGAAATTATAAAACTTTTTCAAATTTTACCTATTATCTGCATACAGTGCATGCATCTATGCATTTAATTCTAATTATTAATTATCAAGAATAGATGTCTGTATTGGTAATTAGAGTTATTTATCTATCTATCTATCTATCCATCTATTATGTATATATGAAATATATTTATATTGATGAATTGACGACAGGTGGCACATTTCTCCATTCCTCCCCCACCCCCGCCCCCGCTTCGGTCCTTCCACTTCCTCCTCCATTTCCTATCTTCCTCAATTTTTGGCGGTTAATTTGAGGTTCAACTCTTCCTTTCTTCCTCCTTCCTCTTTCACCTCAAATTCTTTTTTTTTTTTTGCCAGAAGTGACCTCCTCTTCTCTTATTACCCTGCTCCTTATCCTCTCTACTCTACTCCAAATCAATTCCTTCCTCTATCCATAATTCCCTTTCATTGCTCTTTCTCTCTCTCTCTCTCTCTCTCTCTCTCTCTTTCTATCTCTTTAACAATTTAAAATAACCGGGCATAAATTCAAATTTGAAAAATGTGAATGAATGGATGAATGAATGAAATGGGTAAGCAATATACATTCTTCAGTTCAAATTCCGGTTTTGGTTAGCAATTTTTTTTTTTTTTTTGCAATATAAAATTCGTTACTGTTACATTTTTCTTTTTCTCTTTCATTTGCAAAAATTTGCATAATTTTTTTTTTATGCCAATTAATTTAATAAATATTGAAACAAAAACTTTTTTTTTCTTTTTTTCTTTTCCTCTTTAAATTATCCTAACAAATATGATTATATTTAACTATTTTTTACAAATCATTTCATTTTTTTTCCTAAAAATTCCTCACCACACATTCGGTATCAGTATTTATTTTCTGCGGAACTCTAAAACGTGATATAATCAAGTACGATCACGTCATGTTATGTTTTCGTTCGAGAATGATCATGATTAGATAATGTTATTAGTATTGATGAAAATAGTTGTATGGCAAATCTTAAATTTAAACAATTTCATATGATATTTTATAATTATGGATATCACCTGCTGCTGCTGATATTATAAACTATCACTGATCATTTTATTCGAGCTAACGGATGGTAATGTTTGAGTGACTGATAAGAAGAACTTTCTCTTATCAGTTACTCAAACAAATGATCGAAATTGTTTACGCATATATTAAATTAATCAAAAGCAATTCAATTTCCTGTTTTAGAATGTCCAAATGTTTAATCATATCCGGTATGCAATTTTATTGCAAACAAAAGAGGAAATTAACTTTGCCGGATATATTACGATTTCCTGATTTTTGAAATTTTCATATATCGTTTTTATATGTTTATGCATATGTGTGTGTGTGTGTGTGTGTACGTGTATGTGTGTATGTGTACGTGTATATGTGTATAAAGAAAGTATATGCTATCTTTGGAATAACATTTGTTGATTTTTAAAGTTGAAATAAAATGAAAAACAATTACCATTGTTCTGGACTTAATGTTCTACCAACGAGGGCAACACAAGGAAACGATTTGGTTCTAAGAGAGGGAAATAGAAAGAGAGAAAGACAGACAGAGAGAGAGACAGACTGATGTGGATAGTTTACAGAGAGACGGAAAGATCGGATGAGTTGTGTAACGGTGAGAAAAAAAAAATCCCATGATCATTTGTCACTTGGAGTGTACAAATGGACAGGAAATGAGGCATTGCAAATTTTTTAAACTTTTTAAATTTGAACGGACAATTTTTTTTTTTTTTTTGCTGTTAAATTTTTCCAATTGATGAAAAATAAACGACCCTTTTTTTTGTGTGTGTATATGTGTGTACAAATAACAAAGCAAAAAAAAAAAAAAAAAACAGCAGCTGTCATTGCGATTTTTATCCATAGATAGGGCTATCAAATATTTTATATCCAGAGATGATATCTTTTCTATCTGTAATTATCTACTTAACACACGTCAAATTTCACGTAAACTATTTCAAATTAAACTTAATTCACGTTGAATTATTAAAATTTCCTTAACGTTACTTAATCATTTCAAAATAAATGACTTCAAGAAATTATTTAAAATTTACAAAATTTATCCAGAAATTTGGCATGGATACTTCATGTCATGGAGCTTATTCAGTAAATCAACTGCAACAACAACAACAACAACAACAACAACAACAACAACACAACAACAACAACAACAACAACAACAACAACAACAACTCCCGACATTATATGACCCGCAAATACCTACAACCTCATATGAGCAATCATCACTATCGAACATTCAACAATCTCATCATCCAGTATCGAGTTACTATGATTCATCATTGTCACATTATCCCGCACCTCGGTAATAATAGCATATTTTAATCATTTTATGTTTTACATATGTGAAATAACATTAAAAATGAAAATAATAGCATATTTTAAGCATTTTTATGTTTTACATATACGAAATAATATTAAAAATGAAATTGTTAAAATTTTCTCAAAAATTTCAAATAATTTTTTTTTCTTTAAAAATGTCATAAATTTTCTCGAAAATTTCTTTTTCATAAAAATTATAAAAAAAAGATAACAATGATATGCTTATTTATGCTAATAATCTCATTTTTCTCAATTTAACTACTAAATAATTTCATTTGTTAATATTTTGAAAATTTTTATCAAAATTTTTTTAATTTTAATATTTTGTAAAATGTTTGTTTTTTTTTTTTGATTTAGTGTACCATATCCGTCGATGTCAACACCAAATAGTCCAATGAGGATTCAAATAAAATGTGAGCAACAACAATCACATCCTTTACCACAATCACAATTTCCGGAACGAATTGTATCAACGATTGATAATCGAAAGATAATGAATACGCAAGCTTGGATGAGTGATCATCGCTTTATCAGTTATCCTCAACAACAACAACAACAACAACAGTATAGGACCGGATCAGCGGTATAATAATTAATTACCATTCTTATAATTTGTACAAAATAATTTTTCATATTGAAAAATAAAAGTGCGCAAAATGCACGACAAGTTTTATTCACGTATTTACCAAAAATTTCATTTTCAAATTTTAGTTTCAACTAAAGTTTATTGGAATTATCTAAAATTTCAAATATTATATTAATTCGTTTTTTTTTTTTTAGCCATCATCAATCATGTCAATGTCTCGTATGAGTCATGTAAGTAGCGCAACGGAAGATATGAGTATGTTAAGTGTTAACACACAAATTACAGAACTTCGACAATTGGCTGATTTGGTGCGTAAAATTTAAATGGTGTAAAATTTATAGCCTGAATTTAAAAAAAAAAAAATTCAATATATGAAATTAGTTGTATGAGAATGATTTTTTTTAATTGCAACTTATGGATGATTGAAATTATTTGTTTACTTAATTAATTCATTTAAACATCATTTCATTTCCCGTAAAGAAACAAATGTCAATATTTGTTTAATAATGAACATTCATTCATCGTTTTTTGTTTTAGAGGGTGCAAATGCATACATCAGCGCCATCATCCTCATCTTCTTGTGTTGAAAATATGGGACCAGATCATATTAAATTTATTGAAACAGTCAACAAATATATCGAAAAAATAACTGCTCACGTAAATAATAACGATAAAGTATGCATTCATTGTATTTTGTAATATTTCTCGAGAATTCTAACTTGTTATGTTTGAATCTTACAAATATTCATGAAAACTATCCAAGCATACCATCTCATTTAAATGAAAAAAAAAATGAATTTAAATAACACTAAAAAGAAACTGAATTTAAATTTTTATTAACAAAACTACTGTTAAAAATTTTATCCTTAAAAAAGTGACAGAAATCATTATCATCCCAATCATTATGCGCTTGAAATTATTGAAATTCTTGGTTGCGCAAATTTTAATGTTCACTGTTAACAAAGTTAGAATATACATGTATGAACGGATTCCGAATTATCATATCCGGATTTTTATTTTTGATTTCCATTATCAGAAGTATTAATTTTAGCAATATATGTTACTCATTGAAATTGATTTACAGAAAGTAGCACAAGAAATGGTACGAGCTGTGTTTATGATGGCAACAAGAAATGATTTTGAGCGAGCTGATATTGATAAATTAGAAAAAATGATGAAAACGTTGATACAGCGATGGTTAAGACAAAACGATACTGAAGATGATGTTAACTTTTCTCTCAATTTTTACACTTTAAAATTTATTTTTAAAATTTTTTTTTCCAAATTTCAAATTTTTGGTTGCTCTATTGAAGCATGTGTAAGTATGGATTAGTAATCTTGAATAACTGATATACTGTTTGTTTTGGTGACTTATCAGTCTGCTAGATTTTTTTTTACTAAGATTTGCTAGAATTGAAATATTTAATTTTTATTGATTTCAAAACTTACATTTACGGAATACTTTTTTATCAAGTAACTTCAATGGAGTTAAATTTAAGCTAAATTTCAGATAGTAGAAACAGTTTTACGGATAATGACGCGATTCTCTGCTGATGGTAAAACGAAACAAATTATGTCAAAGGTGAATTTCATTTGTATTTTAAATATAAACATTTTATGGTAAATTGCTATAAAAATTATACGCCACAAACTGTTTAAATCTTTGTGCTTTTTTTTTTATTTTTTTATATAATTGGTGAAAATGGTTGCATGTAATTTGACGCAAATTAAATTGAAAAATTTTGATAATTTTAAAAATTGCATCTTAAAAAAAATTACTGTTTTAAGTGGATGGCACATTATCCGGATGAATTACTCGAAACATTTGTACGATGGATGGAGTTAGTTTTTTGTTTCTCATTTTTTTGTAGTTGTTTGAAATTTAATGTAAAAAATGGCTGTTCGTTCGTTGTTTTTTTGTTATGATTAAAATGAGTAATGAAATTCCTATATTAATATTAATTAGATTATTTACCGTTTTTAAATGTTTTACTTTTTTTGAGGATGAACTGTTTTGTTAAAAATTATTTCTGTTTCTTTTATATTTCGGAATCATTCTGTAATGATTGGTAAACGTTACGAATTGAAATGTTTTGTTTTGTTTATTTAAATTTTAGTATAAAATTGATTAAATGATATTATTTGCTGAAAATTAAATATTTATTTATACGTAATACTCAAGAAAAATTTTTAGTCCAATACAAAAATCTTGTAAATATGCTTTGAATATTGTTCATTCATTGGTTGGAATGGTGGAACGACATCGATATGGGAAGGATATTAAGGAACAAGTAAATTTTACTTATTTAGTTTCTAGCCGCTTCTTTTAACTTTATATATCATACAAATTCTAACTTTATATATCATAGAAATGAAAAACGATTTACATAAATATTTTCTGACTGCTTATATTTCAATATTTAATTAGCTTTGATAATTGAAAACTGATACTTGTTTTTTATTTCAATATATTTTCATTGTATATTTAAGATTCTCTCTCGCACCACACGTGTAATGAAAGAAATGGATGAAAAGGGTGATCAATACTTCATTAATACTTATAAATCAAAACAGTATGTTTTTGATCTTGTTCGACGTGTTTTCAACGGTAGCGATACATGGAGGGTTAGTATTTGTAATAATTTACGATATAAATAATCATTGATTATAATGCATGTTATTTTAATTTCACAATTAAACTAATCAATTAAAAATTAAAAAATGAATATTTCTATTGAATTACTATTCATGTCTAACAATAACT